GATAACCGCTGGTCGTTAAGGGTAACTGACTAGATTCCCAGAGAAGGCAAGCGGGTTAGGGGAAGACAGAAGGTTAGGTGGGCAGATGAGATTAAGTTTGCGGGTATAAATTGGCAGCAGCAGGCACAGGACCGGGTTAACTGGCGGAACATGGGAGAGGCCTTTGTCCTGCAGTGGACGTAGTCAGGCTATTGATGATGATGATATATATATATATATATATATATATATATATATATATATATATATATAAAACAACATAAATTTGGGCGTTACCTCCATTTTACGACTGTTTGCAAATGACTGCGTGGTGTATATTGTGATCAGGACGCAACAGCACTTCAGGGAGACTTGATAGGATTCATGACTGGTGTAAACAGTTGAACATGTGTTTTATTGCTAAAAAGTTTATTAATATTGTTTCACGAAAAAGCAAAAACCACTGGCAAAGAAATACTGTATAACTAAATACTGTATAAATAAGAAGTTGGTTGACACAGTTGATAATTCTAAATACTTAGGTGTCATGGTTTCGGCTGAATGTTCATGCAGTGCGCATATCAGTGAGATAGTGAGGCTGGACGGGCACTGAACTTTGTTCAACCAAACCTAAGATGTCGCGAGATATAATTAAAAGGTAATGCATTTACTACGTGTGCAAGACCAATATTAGTGTATGCCTGCCCACTATGAAATCCATCGGAAGCCACCCTCATTTTTCAGAGAGAAAGTGTTCAAAACCGAGCTGCGTGGTACGTCCTGGGCAGGTACCGTAGATTAGACAGTGTCACAATGATGAAACAAGAATTGAATTAGTAGTTGTTGTCTTCGAGCAGACGGAAGCTAAGCCTGAAACTGTTTTTTCCGATATGAAGTAGGCATAGACAATGAAACCAACTTTAGCACATTTTTTTTTATTTATAAATGTTAGGATCAGAAACTCAATATTCTTGAATACCAGCTCAGTGCATGCAAGTTCAAAAATCTTTTTTTTTTTTCTGAAGTGTGTGAGAGAGTGGAATAAGCGATTTGAAAAACAAGTATGTTGTGCAAACGAAGGCTTAGTTGTTTTCGCAGTGGATATAAAAATAGCAAGATGGCTACAAAAATATTTTGAAATTCATGTGAGTTAGTGCACCACCTTCAAGCATTTTGAATATGGGGAACTTGAAAATGTATATTTCTAAGTCAGGCATAGTGGCCTCAGTATGTACAATAAATATAAAAGGCATGAGCACGTGATTGCCTTGAAAAACTTTTTGCTAACCGATATGTTGAGTTAGGTGTACAGTACTTTTATAAGAGCCTGTAAGAAAGATGAGTTTTGAAACGCCTTATTGTTACGGGGAGAAACATATTTACACTATACACAGATCAAATTCAGCGCCTGACAAAATGTCTCTCCACGTCGTCTTCGTTTTTGTCCTCTCTCTCATTTTTTTTTCATGCGAGTACGCATTTCCCTACTGCCATCACACCAACACCATGCTAATTAACAAGTCAGTTAAGTGTAATTACCTGGTGATAAAAAGAAGACAGTAGAATCTTCGCTTGAGGCACGTAACAATCACTATGTCAGTACGAGGGTGAGCGACGGTGGGGTCACTGAGAGCGATTTTGAAGGTGACTTTGGTCACTTGACGTAAGATGTGTTAAGTTCTGAAATATTTGGAAGTAGCTTCTCTAAAAGTTCAATGCGACGGGAGAGGGATCAAAGCAGAACCAGATTACCGAGTACTAATGTCCTACACATTCCTCTAAAACAGGAACTAACATAGTTGTTTGTTCCTTCCCAATTTTAGGATGAGTTGCCATTACAAGTTCCTCAATTTCCAAAGAACTCGTAAACATTACATCTCAAAATTTGGAACGTGTAGTTACATTAACATTATATTTGGCCTTTCAAAAGTTATATACAGTCAGATGAACCTTAGGCCAAATTAAGTGAGCAGTTTAAAGCAGCCATCAAGCTACATATAGGTACTATAAAAATATAACATTACTGGCAGCTGGTGATACGTAAATAAAAGGAATTGGAGTAAACCATTTCAGACGAACGTCTTAGAGACCACAGGCCTTTCTATAAACATGACTAACTGAAATTTTTGCTGTCTTCTATTTCCTGTTCAAAACATGTGCAGCCTTTCACGACGATCTTCCAAGATTCTGTCAGCATACTGCACTTCAAGTATATTTTCCGCCAATGCAACAATGTATTTAAATTTTTTGCAATGAATACCACATCAAAACAGCCAATGCTTAAGCGTTTATTGAGTGCTAATTCGATACTTCAGTGCGAGAAGAATGCGGTGTCCAGAAACTACACATGCAACTTAGTTAAGTCCCTGTTCGCTGTCAGCAAACACATTTATGTATTCTAGTTTTCTATGTTTTTCTTTTCTTTTCCCTTTTGTTGCCCGGATATTTTTTTTTCTTTAAATCTTCCTTTTCCTACCTTTCTGTAGTCCGATGCCTACCTACATTTATTTCCTTTTCTCTGATGTGCTCTCATTTCTCTCTCTCTTTACTTGTTCCTCTTTGGCTTACCCTCACTTCCTTTTCCTACCCTCTTATTACCCTACGAACTTCTAGCATGGCGCACCTTACAGAAAAACAGATAGCTGATAATCCCCTCAAGATCTCGCTTTATTTGGACGGTTACTCAGCCATGAGATGTGTGGGAGCAAACGGAAAGTGCCAAATAGAAATACTGAATTGGAGAGATGTTTATACGTACCACCGCTCTTTCACGCAATTCAAAATTACTATTACCAGATCTAATAAGTGAATCCTTTAGCACTATGTGTTCGCCGTTGATTCACAATACGAGCTGAATGGACACATCAGTTTTCTGTCTGCAGTGAACTGCTTCAAAATACTATGTCTACGTTGAATAACTACCGTGAAAGAAAAGTTGGATAGCCGAGTAGTTACCACGCTCGCGTTTGGATAAGTGGCACCGCCTGGTATAAAAATTTTTGAAGCCAAGCATTTATCACTCTTTCTATACCTCTTTCACGACAACTACAGCACACGACGGACAATTAAGTGTGTTTTCTGCGAGCCAAATGGAAAAAAAGAACGTATGCCGTTTTATTATTACGATCACTCTTCTTTTGCGACACCTCGAGCATAACAGCTGTGCTTTAAAAAGACAAAAGACAACTCTGCCTCCCGCACCTGGTCTGTTTCGGCGTCTTCCACTTCCCTCCGTCTCTGGTACGTGCCGAGAAATAAAAGCCAAGTTGCATCGTATTCACATGATAGACAAGCGGTACCTTCTAGCCGTTGCTATGACTCCCCACACAGTCATCCATACGCCTTCTTCTGCGTAATGTCATACATGCTTGCACATGTTGAGTGTCCCGTAACTTTTACAGAAAGAACGCTGTTCCCTGTACCATTCTTTGTCAGGCGTAGCAAGTTACGAGTTATTGTTGCAGATCTGTCACTTTTCAATGAAACGATCGACTTCCACTGTTTCTTCTAAATGAACTATTCTGTGAATGCCGTTTCGTACAACACAGCTACGTACATAATGGTCATCGCGATGGTGGGCGTCATATACACGTGTCTGGTTGTTTTGCAAGTCCGCTAGTCATCGTCGAGCAGCTTAGTATGCCTCTACGGCCTTCACTTTTATTCAACGAGCGTGCACCAGCCTTTATCCTAGTCCAGTTGGAAGGAGTGGGTAAAAAAAAAAAAGCACAGGGTCGTAGCTTAACAAGAGAGATAATGGCTAAAACTAATTGGTATTGTGCGGAGAGGAACTTTAAGGCAAGTATGACAAACAGTAATGTAACAACGACAGGATGGAAGCTTGCGATGAAGCAATATGAATCTGTGCTCAAGGCAACCTTTTGACAGGTGGACTTATCTTCTTCAAGGCTGGAACTTATTTCCGTAGCCCCAGAGAGTATATGCATTTGCTCCAATCCAAACAAAGGAGAAGCTGCGGGTGGGGGAAAAGCCACCATGAGCAACTGTGTGAGTCGAAGGGTAATCCGTGAGTTGGAAAAAAAAGAAAGAAGAAGATAAAACCACACGCTTCACTATATCAGTGTTGTCAGAAGAAGCAGCACTTCACAATAGTAGGTTTGAAATTTATAGAAGGACGGCTGAACTGTCATTGGTTTCCATTATGCATGTGCCAAGTCGGATAACTTCAAAAGGCCCCCTAGAAATGTTTATACCTACTGACTGGAGTACTGAACTCGTAGACAATATTTTGTGTCTCTTGGAGGTCGAAAGCTTGACTGAAGTATGCCAAGCTTGAGATCCCCAAAATTAAGACCGGCTGCATTATACCTCTATGCCACTGCTATCGGTAATTTCATCACTCTGTCCATGCAAGGCCCATTTTATCTAACAATAACAAGCTGTCCCGCTTTGCCAATGAGCCATTTGCAACAATATAAACATTCAATCAAAAATATATCATTTCAATTTGTGTAGATGAAACTAGATAATAAATGATAGACGTAATCACTCGCCGTGTGCTTCTGTCACCTCTTCTTGAAGGTGTTTGCAGGTCTCACATCTTGGACAAGAACATGGAATCCGACTTTTTAGATTGACGATGTATTCCCTGTTTTTTAGTGTTCCTGCTTATTATTCTAATGGTTTTTCTGTTTTCTTTCGTTTTTTATTCATCTTTCTCTTTTTTATGCTGACAATGTATTTCAGTGTTGCTTGATGATTACCTTTTTTTTTTTTTTCTTTCCCCATCATGGGAGGTCCCGCCTGCAGGTTCTTACCTTGGGACCTCCCAGTGAATCTGTACCCATGCACTTTTCCATGTTCACGCTTGATGAATAAAATTCAAATTCAAATTCAAGTTCAAAGCGTTATGTGGGCAGTACAATGTAGGTTTACTTGCATGCACTAACACTGTGCTGGCACTAAACTCTTCAGAAGAATAAAAAAAGGCAGTGACAAAGAAGGATGCAGAAGAACATTTGAATAAACGTTACATCAAGGAATAAGTAGACAGAACTCACTTGTGGCATGTAGTTACTAGAAGAGACGCGAGTGCCGCTTGGGTATATTCTACTCAGCTGGCGCTTGTTATAACTGGAATGCAAAAGTCAAGGCGCTGTGCCAACTTGTGTTTGTCTCACTCATAGAAACACAAAGTAGGATTTGTTCACAATAACACAAACTTATTATTAAAGTCATTTATCAGCTGACAAGATGTAAAAGGAAACCGGTATACCGGCATCTTGTCAGGGGTTGCAAGATACTTACATAATTTGGGCATTGTTTGAGAACTGTACATGTGGTCGTATTCACTATATTACCAGACTCACTGTAATAGCGGACGTCGTCTTGAAATATTTGTGTATATTCTGGAAAATCAAGCCAATGCACGAGGCAGCTGTGCTCTTGAATCTTTGGCCGGCCTTCTTCGGCATGTAAACAATGTTGGCTGTTTTGATATAAAAAATTTGATTTGCAGCGTACTCTATTCACACGCTCCTATCAACACTACCTGAATTGGCGACATTTTATTACTGTCAGTGGTGCTACAGCTCAAATAGGGTTCGAAACAATTTTTGAAGCTGCAAAATGTCACTTTTGGAGCACGAAAATCCCGATTTAGAGCAGTTTATGAAAAAAAAAATGTCTGTTTTATCACTAAATCTTGAACTTGGAGCAATAAACAAAGAAAGCTTATTTTTATCAAACAAATGTATGTGTAAATATTGCAACAACATCTAAATCATGCACAGGGTCCATGAGCACTGGGATTTTATTAAAAGCAATATTTTGAACTAACCCTCAGTGCAAGCAATCATGAAATCCGACTTGGTATTTGTGGCACTTGTCAAATCCTTTGACTGTGTGTGCAAGTTGAATTGTGCATCCGCCAAGCTGGCGACCACGAAATTGGGGAAATATAGAGCATAACGAGTGGGGGTTAGGAAAAAATTAGGCGCATAGTTGTGTTTGGTTGTGAGGGCCCGGCACAGCTACAAATGATTGCCAACAGCGTTTCAGACAACAGTCGTCATACTAGTACTCACAATTACGTGGCAGATTTAGACACGAATAATTAAGGAACAGGATGTCATGCGATCCCTGGTGTTTCGTGAAGGCACCAGTGCAGGAAAGTTTCTTCTGCACACCACTGGTTGACGCAAGGCCTCTGCCCTGCCCGACTGCTGGCACCTTCTTTGAACACAATGATTGTACGTCAGTTCAGGACGCAGTCACAAAAACTATGGAAGAAGCAGGAATTGCCCTCGTCATATAAAACCCCAGGTCCACCTACATTTTAACAGATGCACAAGCAGCCTACCAAAATTTCTGTAAAGACTGCATTGACCACAATAGCGCACCGAATCCTTATACAGCTATCATCGCCCCGTTAAGAGGGAGAATGGAAACACCTCATATGAATACCCGGCCACTGCCATGTTAAAGGGGACGAGCTCACCCTTTCATCAGCTCGAAAATTTCTCTTCTGGACCTCTGACCCCAGCATATCGCACCCACCCTACTCTTCATATAAACCCGCTTCTCATGCATACAGAAATTTTGTAACATGAAAGACTGAAACTTGAGTCTTCAGGGCTGAATCTCAGTGAGGAATTTCAGGAAATGTGGTCTCATTTCCAGATCCTATGGTAACCAATCGATACAAACCTGTCTAGGATAAATTCTGACACACATGCACCACCGTGCAGGTTCTGAGCCACTAAGCCAGCCGCCCTGTACCCCATCCTATTGGAATGTCGACCTAATTCTCCTTTGCAATCCAGGGCACACCACAACCTGAACGAGTGGAAGGCAGGTGTGTCCATCTCAGATCAAAAGACCCAAGAGGCCCCTGTGACAGGTGCGAGAACTGCGACAAGCGCCAACAAAATCCAGGTCTAAGAATCCTGCTCACCAACCTTCCCGCGCAGAGCACCAAATAAACATTTTTAAAGACGATAGTCTTTCTTGTGGTACTTCAACGCGAAAATTTTGATCCGTCTGTCTTTCTGTCTGTCTATACATTTGTCTGTTTGTCCGTCATAACGATATCCCAAACAGCACCAAACGATACCTCTAACAGCCAACCCCAACCGCAGCCGCCACCAATATTGCTAAAGTTTCAGCATTTATAGTTGTGCAATTGTCAATTAAAAACCAGTTATTGCGCATATCTGAGGCACCATAACAACACGTCAATATTTTGTATGTGTGCCTTTATACTAGAAAAGTAATTCTATGGACCGTAGAATTTATCACGCTGTGCTGACAAGGCAACATGATGCTCAAAAAGGCAAGTGTTTCTATCGCTTTGCAAAGACAAAACGTTGATGGCATCTGCCCGTTGCTTTGCACTTCCGCACCTTATCACCCCTGAAGGCGGGTGCGTACACCTTCCTTCGTTTTCACAGATGACTGCCAGATAGCACTCATGTCTAACATGACTCGATGCACTCGTTTGCCTTCAATGCACGAATTGATACTCTCTAACGCAGCGCCTGCAGAATACAATTCACCAATTTTCTCGCTCGGAACATCAAATAAACGTTTTGTTCACTCTCTCCAGATGAAACAATATTCTCTTTCGAGGACATTTGCAGTGAAAGATGCAGATACTGGGCCAATCTTTTTTCTCTCCACCACCAACCCGGCTTGGCCATGCAAGTCATGTAACTTGTGTCTCACTAACCGATCGCTCATCTTACCCCTTCCTAAAACCACCTGTGAGAGGATGATTTTCCATCAGTCTCACCATAGTTCGGCCTACGTGTCGTTGCTCTACATGCCTAATCCATTTCTCGTGTCGGCTTCTCCGACGACACAACAAATGACGACCACTTAACGAACCACAACAGCTCAAGGGAAACATGAAGGGGGTGAGGTCTTCTTCAAGCTGTGTTTGTGCGGCTGTTTTCCCTCACCCACCTCAATTTACTACTATGTTGCATATGTGCGTAAATGGAAAATAACAAATCAAATCAAATCAAATAGGCGACACCAGGAAGAGCACAACCTACACCTGAAGGCGGCCGACAGAAGCGGCCAGAAGGACATGTAGGATGCGCCACAGCACATTTCACTGTGCTCGGTATCTAGGAACAATGCAGCTACTTCACAGCACAAGAGCCACTCAAAGCTCAAGTCATCCAAAATGCTACACACACGAACAGCACACCGGCGCCATGCGGCTCGGGAGCCGAGTCGGCGACTGACACAGCAGCGATAAGGACGGAGTACGTGTGATACATTGCTCAAATGCCTTTGACGAGCTGTTCATGGAGACATTGAACGTACTAGGCGAGCGGAACCTGTTTACAAACCACCTGCAACTGCTTCGCGAAGCCTTCCCCGAATCAGTCACAGCACTTAAGGAGAATGCCCTCACTTGCGAGTCTGGAGCCACTTACGATGGCAGAATATGTGACCAAATAAATACCGGGGCATCAAAGTAGATGTGCCGGGCTAAACTTAAGTCCTGCAGGGGAGCCCTCATGCTGCAGAAGGCAGAAGAGATTGGGCACGACTTGGAGGCACCCGGCAAAGACAATGGGATGTTCGGCGAATATGAACGGCTTCTTGGCTCCCGCGCCGGTGATGGCAGTAGCATCTATTGTGTTGCACATGACGTCGAAGCCTACCCAAAATAGTGGGTTGGCTTGCTTTGCCAGCTCCTCATGTGACCCAACTTGGCGACGGCTTGATCGCAAAGTTGGGTGGCGGCGTCCAAGATGGCTATGCGGGCCTATCAAAAGGCCTCTAGGAAGGCGTTAACGTCAGAAACAGTCAACCTGCTTTTGAGCCTTCAAATCGGCCCCTGTTTTCACTGTGTCAAGTTAGGACATGTGGAAGCCTTCAAGAAATTGCCCAGCCGAAAAATGACCTTACGTATCTGGAAGAAAACGACTTGGCCTTCTGGTGCGCCTGGCGTACAACTTCTCTTTCGTTCTTTCTTTCTTCCTCATTGTGCAATATTCCCTTCCTAAAATGTCTTTCTGCTATGCCGGCAATGGGACCTTCATATACGCTTTTAGGAGCACAAGGCCAACATAAAATGGTTATTGCACTTGCCGTCCATCAAGAACAGAATCAGCACATGAAACTCAATTCCAGGAACTTGCACAATTGAGGTTCATAGCTTCGGCGAATATCTACAAGTCGGAAACGTAACGGAGAGCTGCATTAGCATATGAATTTTATTTTTTTAGAAATCTATGCTATTTTTCAATTTTTTGCCAAGGAATCAGTCTACTGAGCAAAGTGCCGAGATTTATTGAGCAAGGAAGCAACCTTTAAAACTACTTTTAAGCATATCAGAATGCCGATAGGTTCCCTTAAGCACAAACGTAGTGATTAATCTTTCTATATAGAAGCACAGCATAGTCGACGGAGTGAATGATGATGAGTGGGGCGAAGCGTCCATCCGTCTGTCTGTCTGTCTGTCTGTCTGTCTGTCTGTCCATACGTTCATTTATACATCCGTCCATTCGTCTGTACATCAGTCCGTCCATCAATTGGTGCACCCATCCATCCTCCTGTCCTTAAATATTGGCTCCCGTGCATCTGTCTGTCTGTCTATCTGTTCGTCTGTCTATTTGTCTGATACTGCCAGCAACACCTGGCACAGGACAGGGTTAGAGGTCGGCCCCTAAAACAAATTGCGAATTTTGTCACATCAAAAGGCACTTCACTGCAGTCTGCCCTAAAAACAAGCGTCAGCACAGAAAGTTACCTTTGCCCAAGACGCTGACTCCGACGAAGCCACAGTTCAGTTCCTGAAAGCTGTGACGACTAGCTCAAAGACCAACGTATTGCCGTTCTTGGCGGACGTATCCACAAGAAGAAAGATTTCAACAGATTTTTAGCTTCGAAGCTTTACCAGCTGCAAGTGCCAGTTAACCTACAGCATTTCGTGAAAGCCCTGCATCCCAATTGTGGGCTGTTTCCACACGACCTTGCAACGCCTACAGAAGCAGGTTTGCATCACATTCTACATGACGGTTCATAGCACATCACTGCCGGGGCTCCAACCCGAAATCCAGTAATTCCAGCTTCAGATCAATGGCGCTACCTTAACCTGTCGTTCGGCGACACTA